TTTAAAAATAGATGCAAAGAATACAAAGCTTAATGATTAAATTATTACTACCATCTTACATTTATCAATTACTTACTAAACTTAGATATAGAAAATTTTTTATATAGAAATTTACCATGATTATAAAGATCTTAGAAGTTTTAACATTTCAAATTGGTCTACAACTTGCTACTATTATATAGTTTAGAAAAATCACTAAAAATATCTACCTACCAATAAAAGAAGTGAATTGAGATAGAGATTAGATCCAAACTAGTTTTGGATTAAAACCTTGTGAATTTTTAGATTGATACTATTATGATTGTGAACAAATGAGTATATAGAAAAGAAAGCTATAAGATGGATATAGTAGGTTTCCTCTATGGAGATGTGCTTAAATCAACTTACACAACTTTTAAGAGATCTTAATTTAGATTTATACTAACACAAGCTAATATTAACATTTTAATTCATCAAACTCTAATTTTTCTTAATATTCTATCTTTTTTTAATCAAAATTCAGTGTAATGAAGGCGGAAGGTAGGTTTGTAATATTTTTTGGCTATAGATTCAAATTGATTCTATCCATGGAGAATAGGATTTTTTTTCTATATTTTTATTTAGAGGTCCAAGCAACTCCGATTCAGGTGGAAAAATCTAAGTCCAATTCTCTTCTTGGTTGCAATCACAAACTAAATTCTTAAAACCATGAGGCCTAATAGATAAGGCAACTAACACTTCTATTAGCAGGAGACTTTGAGTTTTTTTTCTTCTAATCGTCCCAAATGGTCGCCATGTGTGAGCACAATTAATAGCTCCAATGATTAGTTATAATCACTTTTGTGATTTTTAACATATTTTTACTAATTTTAATACTAATATGATTAACTTATGGATCCAAATTAGCTTCTTTAGTTAATTATGACTTTATTTATATTTTTAGATTATTAATTAGGTGATACTTTTAATTATTAGATTGAATGATTGTTTAGAATTTTAAAATTAGTAATTTTAGAAGATCTATGATTTCTTTTTTTATATAATTTAAATTTATTTTTAATACTAAAATTAGAATTTTAATAGAATTTCTCTTCTAAATGCTAAAAATTATATCTTGAATTAATCTAAAATTTTAATTTTCAATTCCAAGGCTAATTCCTAATTTGACTATGATTAGAATATCCTTTAAGTCTAATTGCTCTATTTTTTATTTAATTTTAATATTTTTTAAGCTTAAATCTCATGCCAAAATTTAAATGTTTTAAAAATATAAAGCCTTATGAAGTATAAAAATATAAAGCCTTGCTTTAATTTGTCCTCTAATTTTTACTTTTTTATATAAATTCTTAAATTTTATTACTCAATTATTTTTGAATTTTTTAACTTTAGCTTTATAATTGGCATCAAATTCTTCATAGTTGTATACATAAGCACCTTCTAAATATTAGAAGAATGAATGCTACATATTATAGAGATTAAATCTTGATCTTCTTTTAGCTTGACTATATTCCATACTTAATAGTAAAGTCACCAAGTTTAATTGTACTTACTACTCCAAAAAGCCTCTTTACACCTTGAATAGCTCCATAAATCCAAGCCATGTTTTCTTTACTATTATATATCTATATGGAATTCTTACCTTTTTCTTCTAATAAGAAATGGTTAGTTCTACTACTTCAGTAAGTCTAGACCTCCTAGAAGTTACACATCTCTTTTTTTTTATTACTACTAATTTTTTAATTATCACTTGCTCTAATAAACCTAAATCTAATTAAAGTCTCTTATTTTGTATTATACTATAAATTTGATTTAGCTTAGAGATTTATATATATATATATATATATATATATATATATATTTAAAATCTATATATAAAAAATAAAAAAATTATGTATATTATGTGATATAGATTACAACTTCTATATCCCTTAAGAGTATTTAGTCTTAGTTGATTTTTCTTGTATCTTTTGTGCTTTTTGGTATATTCTCTTTCTTTTTTTTTTGAATAAACTCTTCTCAAAATATTTCTAATTGATTTTGAAATTTATAAGTAACAACTACTAATAACGTAGGAGATATGTCAAAGATTCCTTAACCATGATAAATTTTGTAATATATCTCTATTTTGTCACTTAGATCCTTTATCATATACAATTATTTCTTTAAACATCATTTATCAAGTGAATTGCTACCATCAACTATAAAATTGTTTCTTTCTATAATATGGAAAAATAAATAAATAAATAATATATAGACCATAATATTATAGGTACCAACATAATTGTAGATAACATTATTTAGCTAATTTTTAAGATTGTATACATGTCCTTTAGTCATCTCTAATATAGTTGAGTATCTTTTTAGCTCATAATTATAGACTCTATTAATACATTTTAAGACATTAAAATAGTTTCTACTTAATACTTTCAATACCAATTCACTTAATCCGTACAAAATGGATTTAGAATTTTAAAAAATGAAGGTAGAATTGAAAAAAATTAAGGATTTTTTGCAATTGAAGTTCTTTATATGAAGATTTCTTTCAAACAATTTTACATAGAAATTATAATATGAAAACAATATCAAGTTGAAATTTAGTTTCTTTTATTACCCTAATGTCAAGATCTACTTTTAAAGCACTTGTTAGAAACTAAGATAAAAATATGGATAAGTTTTTAATTATAGGTCATATATTGGAAGATTATTTAATTTTTTATAAGCTCCAACAAAGAACTTATCTTTATGCTATTTCTATCATAATTCAAGATAGAATTAATTGCTGAAAAGCTAAATTTAGTTTTTAAAAAATATTTTATAAGTAACCACATGAAATTAGTCACATGATATAACATCTAAATCAAAAATCCTTCAAGGTGCAGCAAATATATAAAAAATTGGATTGTTATAAAATTAAAATGATTAATTTTATATAATAAAATATATATATTAATAGAATAATACATACTAATAAGTTACTAATTATGTTTTTGATATAAAATATATGATTTAATTTAGTAATCAAGTAATTTTTTTTATTGTCTAATATTAAGATATATTATAATATGTTAGTCTTTGTAGTAATGTTTAATAATCACTATTATAAAGATTCTTTAAATAACAATTATATATATTTCCAACATCAATCACGTATGTATATGATGTTAAGATGGTCTACATAATCTTTCAAATAAAAGATTTGTTATTTAGTGGCATATTAATATTAGAAGTCATTAATAGACAAGAATGCTCAGAGTAATTTAAAAATTGTGTTCAATGTCATCTATTTATTAAAGATACATTGTATGCTAAACCCTAAACCCTGAACCTGATTATGATATTCGGCTCTCAGCCAAGCAACCCAGATTCTAGTCTCCTCTCTAATGGAGGCTTCTGAGTGATGAAAAAAATTACATATCTTTTTTCTTGTTTTTCAAGTCTGCTCTTTGTTATTATTGTAGTCTTTATGAACAAGAACCAAAGCCAAGGAGTGACACTTGTATATGAAAAAAGCGCCCTTCGAACCCCATGGTTCCTTGGTCCATTACAACCTCATCCCTTTTTGGCTCTCACTACTACCCAAGTCATGGAATTAAGTCCTTGCCTTGAAATAAAACATAGGAGGCCTCCAAGCTTCCTAGTAAAAGCCCACTCCAAACTACAAACCCAACTTTTCCAAACCATCCATATACAATATACAACTTTCTTTCAATTCTGTGTTGGTGTATGCTTTCACATGCTGCACCATCAATGCCTTCAAAACCCATGCAACACAATGTCCAATTCTTTTTACTTTCATGCATGCAATGAATTTACCTTCACACATTAAATTAAATCTTCTATTCTGTATGGACAAAACTAGGTTGGTGGTTTTTGGCAATAGTACATACTATTTTGTTTCTCATGATTGGAATTTGGTGTTTAGTCCATTTGTAGATCTTATGGTTGTTCTTATGCCAAGAATGATGATGGAGGATATGTTAGATGGATATTACATTCTTCTTTTTAACCACTATGAAGGTGGCTTTTTATTAAATCCAATAAATATAGATAGCAAAGTTTGGATTAGGCCTAGTTGTGAACTATTTGGGCATTGAATGAAGAAGTTGGAGGCATTTCGTATTTTTTATTTTCTTATAACATTGATGCCATGACTGCCATGAAGTTAGCTTTTGGTAATGTTTTTGTATGTGACATAGAAGGTAATAATGTTATTTGCGAGTCTAAAGATTCATCAATCCTTGTAACCAACAATAGTAACCTATGCCTTTTAGTATAGACCAAGCTTAACTTTTATGTATTTATGTTGTAATATTATCTTTTAGAATCTACTTCAAAATATCCTTCTTGTATAGATTTTGAGTTAATGAGGATTGCCATAAAAAAGCTATTAAGTATTCTTTGGTATCTTCATGGTTCATGCCATTCTTTAGGTTACTTCTCCAGAATCAAATCCTAATTCTCCATCACTAGTTACCACCACGGTGGGCCTCTATCCTACCATTGAAAGTTAATAAGGTAATCACAAGACTGGTTTAGGGTGAATAAAGATTGTTGAAATGCACCACAAGTCTACACAAAACTCATCTCCAGATTATCCATATTGGTTCCTTTTTGTCTACATGTTTGCTTATAATTTCCAAAATAACATATATATATATATATATATAAATATAATTTCATAATTCATGATTTTCATTTTTTGACAAATATAAGTAAAAATAAAACCGACTTCTATTTTGCTTATGTTGGATTATTTTGAATTAGTTTATATAAAGAATTGATCTTTTTGTCATATAAGAAGCAATATAGTTTTTGATTGCATGTCAAAAAAAATTGTATGTTCATTATTTTGAACTTGTTCCAATTCACTTAATTAAGCTATTGTAGGAGTCTAGTTAACGTCAACTTGAGAATTAATTGTGGTTGGATATTTTTTAGACAAAAGAAGAATTAGAAGTGAAGCAAAGAATAAAATAAGATTATAACACAATATTACAATGCTTATTTTTTAAAGACAAGAATGCATGTAGATCAGAGAGGAAGCAAAACTCAAAAGCATTGCAAGAGCTTAAAAGTATGCAGTTTCCCTCTGCCATTTAATTTTATTAAAAAAATATTACAGGTTCTCGTATAGAGTTAAAACTGTCTTTTATGGTGTTCTAGGTGAACAAACTCGCATGGTCTTATTCTGCACTATTTGGTTGATTTTGTCTGAAAGATCATCCCAATTAATAGGTTTTGTCAAATACCCAGTTAATCCCATAGCTCCAAGGCTCTCCCGGCCTTGAGTCAAAACATCAGCAGTCAAGGCAAAGATTGGAATATCGGCTACTCTACCACTCAGAGCTCGAATCGCTTTAGTGGCACTAAGTCCATCCATAACAGGCATTTGCAAATCCATTAAGACCATGTCGTATTGGCCATTTTGGATCTTGTCCACTGCAAGCTGCCCATTACCCACCAGTTCAACCTGTTGAGACAAAAGGTGCAGTTGAGTTACTATTGAAGATAGCAGATAAGTCACAAAACAATGGTTTTCTCCGCTGCTTGCAGATTTCAATGAGATAACGAGGTGGTACTTAGAAATTTACTGCTATAACTAGTGTCTGAGACTACAGCGTTCACTTACGACGTAAGACTTGAGACAGAAAAACTTTGGAAGGTTAGACGTGGAGCACCTCGTGGCCATAATGTTTGAGCATTTTCCTTATAAGAAGCTGGTTCACCTTGTTGTCCTCTGCAACAAGGACTCGAAGGGTCCTCCCTTCCACCTTCCAGTTTGACTCTCTCTTGTCCCCTTCAGGTGAAAGGAAATCCGCATCGTACAAGTATTTACAAGGACTAAGGGCTGGTCTAAGTGCCACACAAAACACAAACGTACTTCCCACGTCCACTTCACTTTCAACCCATATCCTACCTCCCATTGCTTCCACCACACCTTTGCAAATGGCAAGCCCCAGACCTGTGCCCCCGAACTTCCTCGTAGTACTGCTGTCAGCTTGAGAGAACGACTGAAACAGTCGATCTTGTTGCTCCTTCGTAAGCCCTATTCCTGTGTCTTCAACTCGAACCTCAAACCAAAGCGGTGGTTTCTCAAAGGGCCCTTCCATATTCACAGAACCTTCGCCATCCTCCCCGATTGTATCGAACAGGGTATCAGATTCTGCGTAATCTGCATCTCTCATATCACACTCTAATTGAAGTGGCTGATGCCTTGACTCGATGGAAGATGGGTCCCGGACACCCTTAGCAGCTTTCTCCAAACCAGTGTCGGAGTGCTCGGGAGGTTTTGGGAATTCGAAATGAACGTTCTGCGCCTTTTCATCTTGTACATGCCCCTGCGAGCTCTAAAGAAGCCACTATGTGAGAAACAGAAACCCTTTCTCAACCTGTGCTGGTCAACCCCCACTTGGAGGATACATCCAATAACTTCAGATCATCACACTTTTTACGCACCTGGTCAGCAAGAACATTAGTGGCTTGCACCACATCTGGGTTATCCTGGCCTGTTGGTAAAATCATTTCATCGACGCGCTTCCATATGATCTTTATTTCGCCTCGCTCAGTGAACTTAATTGCATTACTCAGCAGGTTTGTGAGTACCTGTGCACTCGTAAATCTCAACACCGTTGGTGCTTTTGAATCGGCTTTTAATCACATGACTGAAGGCTGAAATGCAAAAATCGTTTCTGATTTGGCACGGAAAAGAAGCCCGTCATAAGATATGTCATAATCATCTCCCAAGCTGCACATAGATTAGAAACTGACATACCTGCCGAAGTCGATTAGGATCACCTCGAACAGCCATCTCGTCTGCAGGTGGCTTGGAAACTGAAAGTCTCAACATTTTTTCCTGTAGTTTCCCTTGAAACAAAGCCTTGACCTGCCACATCATCAAACCAAGTAGGAAAATCTTGACGTGTAAGAACGTGGTGAGGATTTTATGAGAACCTCAGTAATTTCTTACGTAAAGAATTAAAAATCGACTCAACGGTCTGACCTGATCGAGTAGCTCCCCAATGTGGAAATCTGTTGTCTGCAGATCTATATGGCCTGACTGAATTCGGGAGAAATCAAGGATCTCATTCAAGACCTGCATGAGGCTCTCAGCAGATACTTGCATAACCTTGACATAGCCCCCCTGCTCAGGCGTGAGAGATGTCAGCAGAAGTAGGTCCAGCATGCCCAATACACCTGTTGAAAGGAAGGGGGGGGGGGGGGGTACCAAATTAATAAGATAAATTAGCGGAAGAGTAATAAATAAAAATACGTGCATATGGAGGGGGGTTGCATCGTAATTCCTTCAAAAACATGTAGATCTAAAATACGGCACTTACAGCTGCAAATTGATAACAACCCAAGAACATAGAAGAGAATTATAACCAGTCATTGGAGTCCGAAGCTCATGACTCATCATGGCTAGAAATTGAGACTTCGCAACATTTGCTGCCTCGATGGCTTCATGTGCATCCTTCTCCCTCGTCACGTCATCGAATAACCATACTCGACCAATGGTTGCCAAACTGGTGATCGGATATGATCGCACTCGTAAGACAATTCGTGGGTCTTTGAGCTCCCACAACCACTCATGACACTGATCCGGATAAGTTACCAATGAATTGAAACACCTGTCAGTTATGAAACATATTCACGTTAGAAAAGAACCTACTATAGATCATCAAGATGATCATATTTAAGGTAACTTGTATAAATTAAACCTTGCAGTGCTAACACAACGCGTTCACAAGCAAAAAAAAAAAAAAAAAAAAAAAAAAAAAAAAAAAAAAAAAAAAAAAAAAAAAAAAAAAAAAACACAAATTCCTTTCCGAGTAGACACTAATAATTTGAATGTGCTACTGTGAATATCGACGAGAAAAAAATACCGGTATGTACTGCTTCGATTTTTGCTACGGTCAGCTAGTCTTCTCATGCCACCGGCTACTTGCGCTGGATCTGCTTCACCTGCATTCGGTAGGCCCAGTAATTGGGCTGCTGCTTCGTTGATCAAGCAGGGTGCCCTTTTATCATCCACAAATACCACCGACTGTTTACACATAATATCTGTTAGGGTTATAACCAGAAAACATATAAACCAACTGGTAAGATGTCACAAGCAACCATAGTTGATTTCCACTCATTTCCTGTGAACGCTATGAGAAATATTGCAGGAAAAAAAGAGATGTGTTCCAATGGTTAAGCTGCACGATCGAAACGCGGCCAAGTTATGCAGTCGCATTAATAATATTCAGAGTAACGAAGAAAAAGACATATGAAAACAGAAGTCACCTGTGGCATTCTTTTCATGATAGTGTCAAATCTACGCCCCATTCGGTCACAGCACTGAGCTCGAACACGATTGGCGAGTAAAAGAGGGAAAGTTTGGCCGGCATCTTGCATCACATCCTCAGCTACGTCTGGTACTTTTGCAGGGTCTAGCCAGAGAGCAAAGCACATGCCCTGAAAATTTCTGCTAGTAAGTAGAACAAAAGCAATCGATTGATTAGCGAGGTGATAATCATTATAGCCATCACTTGTTGAGAGCCCACTTTTACAAGACACTAACGAGAGCATGAAAGCACAAGGTAGTAACAAACGAAATTAGTGACATAATATTAGCCTAAGGCAAACCTAGACCAACACTAGAAGTATGTCTGCGACCCTCGGCGTTGGTGAATGCATATACACTTCCAATATGAACTTGTCTTTCAAATACATATGCTGTGTCCTTAGCCCTCGACGAAAAACTAACTGAATTAATAACATCTATAATCTGGAAATACAAGGATACGTGGAAGAGAACTTACTCCTCGGCACTAAATTTTGTCGCTAAGTACCGCTTTGGTCGAGATCCCAAGGCTGCAGTGATAACGCTCGGCAGCAACAATCCCTGTGTGTCAATGACCTACCATGCCCATCCACACACTCCGTTCAATTGTGCACCAGATAACTTCCCGGTGAAGATAGCTTTGAGTCTTGTGGGAATAGGCAGCAAAATAAAAGCCCAAAGTCGTGGCACACATACGGAGCTACTATTCATTACAGAAGTTCCATCAGAAAAATCCCACCAGGATTCAACACCAATTAGACCAAGTCCGGAGTCACCAAATCAAGGATGAATTATCCTTTGATGCTCCCCCCAAGATAACCAACACAGATTCTCTATCGGATGAACAGAAGATCAACGCGAAAAGCAACCCTTCAGGCAAGATTTCAAAACAAATAGCTGAACTGGAAGGATCCCAAAAGAAAATAAGCTCAAAGCAGCAAGTCTCTGCAAATCCTACACATAAATGTGCGCTTCGCACAAGAGACAACCAAGTCAAATAATTTGAGCGAATGCGAACTTGGTGGCTAATAGATCTTATTTTATTTCGTCGCAGAAAATGATCATGATAGTTTTACTACAACAGGACAAATATCCAATAAAAAAAGAACACAAAGAAATACACAAAGGTGGTATATTGACATACGCAGCGCTATGCAAGCAAAAACTACGACCTAATTAAGCAGCTGTAAAGAGTCTCGATTCTCGCACCTCGCAAGTGTTCTTTGACAGCAATCCCTTGGATAGCCTGACAGGCACATTGATCAAGTCCTTCGGCACGCAAAGAACAGTTTCAAGCAACCCATGAGGGCTATGCAAAAGCCCAGCAACGATCAGATCGCACTGAAGTCCGGTGGCTGTCATTCGCAGAACAGAATGAGGCAAGTCCAGAAACTCCTCCTTTTGAGGTTTCTTTGCTTGTGGAACAGTCAATACCGCGGCATTCAAGGACAGCAATGAAGCTGCAGTAGCAGATTTTTGCCTACGAGGTTGAGAAGAGTTGTTCCAGGAGTCACTGGTGCCAGCCCCTGTTTCTGTGCTCAGTACTGATCTAGTAACCCCTGTGTATGAGAGACTACCAACAGATCCATCAGCAGATGCGGGCTCCAAAGACGATCCAACAGGAACATTAGTGCTATTTGAATAGCTATCCTCATTGCGTTTAAGCTTCTTAGCCAGAGTAGATGATGTGGTAATCATCTCAGACTCACTGGAGTTTGCATTCGACATTGCAAAATCTCTAGACAAAGCATGCGGCACACTGTCTCACTCCAAATTCGACTCCATTATGCGAATTCGTTGAAACCCTAAAAAATTTCAGCTAGCTTACAAGTTGATAGTCAACCAGCTATTTTTCACGTGAAATTGGTGATAATGATAGAGTAAATCTCTAAACTATTAATTTCTTTCAATACAAACTACGAAAAATTCTGGGAGTGTTATATAATCTATTGAAAAATATAACCTTTATATTGAAGGTTGCTGAATAGCCTAAACTAAATAGTAGCACTCACCAAAGAGCTTGGACAGAAATCTCTGAGTCACCTACAAACACTGCACCAACCATAGCTAAATCCAGAATCAACAACGCCTACAAACTTCCAGCAACAAGTTGCTCATCTCTCAAACGCATACATCGCAAACAAGGTGCCGCTTCAAAACGGGAATAACAACATCGGGGGCACTGAGCTGAGGCAGATGGCCCTCAGTTTGCAATATTTCCACAGCACTCGGACCCCCAAGAGCATGATGCAAATACGATGCAACAACAACTGGGACTGCCAAATCCTTCGAACTTTGGAGAATGTGGCAAGGAACTTGGACCTGGAATAACGTCCGTCGCGACCAGAATGTAAGTACTGAGTGGTAAATACTCTCCGCAGGAAGTAGAAATATTAAACTGTCAATAATTTCACTCCAAAAGACATACTTAAAATCACCCAAACAGAGCATGCAGAACCAAAGTATCTCAAATATGTGTGTCAATCATCATCAACATTTTTGCGATAAATACAGAAACGAAAATCACCTGATGTAACACGCTGCGCAAATCACTTTGGAAAATGGTCTTGGCAACAGTAAACGCGATATCAGGACGGATATTGAAAAGTGTTCTGCTAAACTCCTGCACTGCCATTGAGTCTATGTCCGCTCCAAGTGCGAGAGGTGCAAAACCCGACACCCATGCCTTGAAATTGGATTGCATAGCATAAAACAACTGGTTTAGAACTTCTTCATCAAGGCCCCCAAAATATTCAGAAGCATTAAGATACCTGCACAAGTAGATTCTCTAGTGCTATGAGTACATACTGATGAGATTATTGATCTCTAGCACCCTTCGTCCTAACATGCGTGTACGATTACCACCGCACCACCTTTGTCGCACATATCCTCGAGAGTCCCTTGTAGGCACTGTGGTCACTGAACAAAGGGACTCGATTCAATGATTCTCAAATTGTATACTTACGAATGAGAGAAGCAGAATGTATCCCAGCAAGTGTTTCGTAGAGTTCAAAAACGCGTTACCTTGGAGATGAGGAAATCATAATAATCTAGGAAAATACGTGTGGACGTTCCATTGAGGCTAAGCAGCCAACCATACCAGCAACTGAGTGCCCGATGTAAATACAGGAATCAATCTTCAGCTCGTCTAAAATTGCAAGTAAATCATCCGCATAACCATACAAGTTCGAGTATCTCTGGGCGCTAAAGTACTCCGGATCTGTGGTTCCAGCTCCCATGCTGTCGAAGAGAACGAGCTTATAATCATCAACGAGGTGAGGTACGACATGTTTCCACACAGACTGGTCGGTGCCAAAACCATGGCCGAGGACAACAATCTCATCCCCACATCCACTTATTGTCACATTGTGAGCCTCAATAATAGTAGGAGAGTAAGACATATCCCGATGTCTTTAACTCGCCCACGTGAACAGCCCTAAACTCTAAAATTTACATCGACAGTCTACACGAAGGGTGTTTTCTGCCCCGTGGACTGAAACGTGCGGTGTCTGAATCAGCTCCGCGAACGGTCTGCAAATACACCCACCACAGTCCACAATCTTGCACTGTTTAGAGGATGAGGAAGAAAGACCGATGAACTTGAGAAATACTGAACATATCAGACAATCCGAACTCGGAAATGGTGACAGAAATCTTTCAACTGCAAAACCCTCCTCGAAGATTTTCATGCTAGCTAGCGCTCCTTTTCCTTCGTGCTGAACGGAAACCACAAAATTTCTGTGCTGAACATGCCTTGTGTTTATCAAATGCCCAAATACCTAAGCGCTTCACCAAAAACAGCCCTAATTCGAGTCTGTTTCGAAGAGCAACAGCGAGCGGGGAGAATTCAGTGCACCGAGTTCTATTACTGATTGCAGCAGCTCGTGAGAGAAAAGCTACCCCTGTAAACCAAATCCTTACCAAACGGTCACAATTCCCGACTCTAAAACGAAAAGAAACCTTCAACCGACCGAATTTACTTCCAGCGCTTCGTCTCGCTGTCGCGCAAGCGGTACCACTGACCTCAAAAACAAACCGAAGGGCCACGGGGAGGGCAACACCGCGAGAAACAGCGCAGGCACTTCGTCATCCACACCGCAACGAATCACTACAACCGCTGGAATGAGAGCACACACCTAATTTTCTGAACTAATACTTAGGCGTGAATCTCGGTGACAAATCGAAGGCTATGGCGGAGCGACCTCCGACCCATCAAAGTCAGAGGTCCAGGTCAGATTGATGGGGTGTCACAAGCATCTCATGATCGAAATTACTCTTGGATCTGCTTTTCTCCTGAATGTTCTACGATGTGGGTTCGCCTCTCCAAAAGCGTCCGCACATGGTCACATTAGAAGCAGAACACTTTTCTAAAGGGGGAAAAAAAAATAAAACTGGCTACAGTAACTGTAATCATGTAGTACATTCAGTTCGTTCCTGACTGCAAATCAACCCCGCAACCTTCGTAAACACATCCACGCAACTGGTACAGCTACGGCGACTCCAGCGCAGCTTCAATCTAGATAGGAAAGGACACTCATCGCGACGCAACCAGTAGGACGCACACTACGTGTGTGGAGATTTACGGCAGGTCAACACCTTTCTCTAAAACTCCTCCCAAATACTCTTTCAAGTACTCGAGAAAAGAATATCTAATTAATTTTAAAAAATTGAAAACAGCAAAACCCAACCCTCTTCGCCTTCACCGCATAGTCTAAGCTGTGCCACCACCTGCATTGGCGACAGCAACATACTCTGACACCAAATCCCTGCAAGTGACATGGTCCTGTGCGGGGTTACCAACCGTACCAATCTGCAGCAGGGATAACAGAATGGACAGCCCCATCATGCCTTGGCATGTGGCATCGTCCCAAGGCTGTGGGAGACACTACACTGTGATGGATCCAAGATGAGGAGGAGGAAGAAGAAAGACGCCTGTGCGACCATCTGCAATAGGGTCCTTGAGTGGGGGGGGGGGTTCCATTTGCCTCCAGGGATGTCATTCCACGACGTTACGACGCACACCCTGCATTTCTTCATCAACAGTGCTGTGTGTGCCCCACCTTCCAAATTTGCAAAAGGATCCAGGAGCTCACGACCCAAGCAGCTTCCTCATTACACTACTCCTCCTCCGCAGCTACTGCTGCTTGGCTCAACCATCACAACCTCCTTGTGAGTGAGACTCTGGTGCCTGCTCTCCTCCAGCCTCACCCTGCACTTCAGATCACAACCTATACGTAAAGAAAGTAAAAAGTAAAGAAAACTGCAACAAAAACGCAATCTCCGAAGCAAGTTGTTGCGGGAACCTGTGTTCTAACGACAACCCATGTCCTTCAATCCCGCAATGGATCGCCATGTTTCTGACACATGACTCGACACACACTCTCCTACACCGTCACCTGTGCTCACATTCTACACCCAAGCGATGACACAGCTATGGCAGCAGCAGCTTCATTTGAGCTTTCCTCCGCCTTGCAGCACCATGAAAACAGGGTTGTGCGTGGATTAACTGTGTGGTTTGTTTTGTTTCTTCAGCTCTCTTGTCATGTTTCCTCTTTCGTTTTGTTTAATTTATATATATATATATATATGCTTCACTTCAAGTTATGGTTATGTTTTCGGTTTCTGTTCCAAATCAGGCCATGAACCCACTAAGATTTTTTAGCTGAAATATGTTCAGTGGTTTTTTGTGCTTGTGGTGTTTTGTGTGTTTATAATGTAACATCAGCTGTTTGTTTAACTGTGTGTTAAACATGTGAAGTTGATGGTTGGTGGGAAAGAATATTGGGGGGATAGATTTGGAATCTATTTATAAAATCTGCAATAAATATTGGGAATGATAAAACGACCCAAGTTTTTACTAAAGCGACCCATCCTTACAAAACATCATTACACTTCCTATGCCCCGTCCTTGTTCCTGTTGTTCCCATATCTCATTCCTCTACCTAGCCACCCGTTCCTCGGTCAGCCCTCCCCGACCCCTGTCCCAATCTCGTTCCCAGCCCCGTTCCTAACCCCGGGATTGGGGATGGTTGACCGGGAAATGGAGGGAACAGGGACGGGGCATAAGAATAATGATGGTTTTGTAAAGATGTGTTGCTTTAGTAAAAATTTGGGTCACTTTATCATTCTACTATATATAAATATAGCAATTAATTGGTAATTTCAATAAATATAAAATATTTTAAAATGATAGCAATATTAAAATAGATTATATTTGGTATTTTTGTATTTTGTAACAATAATTATCTACAATTGCAAGTTTGTGTTACCAAAGATAATATTATCATCCTTCATACAACAATTATTATATATTTTAAAACATGAAAAAATTATAATCAAAATATTTGATACATTAAAATTGTTGATAATAATCATTGAGATTTACATATAAGTCATTCTATTTACATCTTTGAATATCCATACTAGTGGAAACCCATGCCTTTAAAATACCTACTACAATCTTTGGCATTGTCATCTATTCATTCCCCCATTCACTTATGTTTGGCCAATAAGAAAGATTCTTTATGTCTATACCTTATATTTATTTATTTTTTATGTAATATATATATATATATATATATATGTTGAATTCCATGCAATATATAATTATTATACACTAATAAGTGGCATAAATTATACATCAATCAAACACAATTGATAACAATTCAATTACACAAAAATACAATGCACGTTTTGTCATTTATTTTAAATACCAAGTGTGACTTGAGCAAAACATAAGAAATTTAACACACACCAGATTACTCAAGAAATGCTATGCAAATGAATACCTCATCCACCTCAATTTACCACAATACATTATGATTACCATCACACTTACAACCTTGTGAAACTTTTTGTGCTGGACATACCAGATATCATGAATTAAAGAAGTTCTCTCTAATCTTATAATACACGAAATGTAGTCTTAAAACCATGTGTAAACCATATTTTTTCAGGTTTGACATAGAGAGAATGTTTGTTGATTTTAAGTTCTTTGGAATTCCATCCTAAAATCAATGTTTACTGTTGCATACTCAACATTAAAAATATCGTGCATAAGGACAACAATCGGATACTGGGCCATGTTTCCTCCTTTCCTCCATCATGGTATGCATTGTAATTTAACGCACAAGTGTCTACAGTGCAACCTCTTTCCACAAATTTGTCAACAGAGATAGGTAGAAACATGATTATTTTAAGTGGGTGACCATTAGCAGCTTTTGAAAGCGAAACTACGGAGTGAGACTTAACTCACGAAACGGATGAAGCTAAAAGTATTTTGCTGCAATCTCTAGTAATTGTTCCCAACACTTGGAGAATTACGAGAAATTACTGAGACATGATGGATGTTCATAATATTAAACTATATGAATATTGTTTGATTTCCCTAGTAAAACAAGCTTCATGCCATGATTCAAGGGAAAGTCTAACAGGGGTTTGACTCTTCATTTTGCTGTTCAGCTACATTGCGACAAATTCATGTGCGAGGCTACTGCTAATCAACGCTTCGTAGTAATGCACAGTATCCATCTTTAACAAATGGTCTGGTACTTTCAAAGTTCGAGACACTTGCGAACTGCATTGCACATGCATCAAGTATATTTTCTTGACGAGGATGTAAACTCCAGCAATGGATGGCAGTCCAAAGTATCTGCGGCGACCAGAAATTAACGCGACGAGCACCTTTGCATTCACTATTGTGATCACCAGGTAAATGCAGCAATATACATCAAGAGACACTCTCACGATCAAATCCGAGTGAAAAAGTATGTGGAGCACTGATAATGAATATCCAACGAGGGGACCTTAGAGCGACAGAATGAAGGCTAGTTGCCACCACTGCGATGAAAAACTTTCAGGAAAAAAACATCTTCGCCGTTTAGTGCAAGTACGACGACTCCAGCAACTAAAAAGCAATCAAAAAATGTGAAATTCAACCTTTTCATGTCCAACCTTCAAGAGCAATACCAGCCTGTAAGTCTCGACTGGGATACCCACAATTAAAGCAAAATTCACGCACACGCAATTCATGCGGTGATCAAGATACAGCTAGACTGATGCTCTCTGATCCATCTACTGGCCTCACACTCTCCAGCAGGACTATGCTTTAGGTCACATATAAATCCAGTTTTACCCTAACCAGGTACCTTAAACATTTAGAACTAAGCTTCTCTTAAAAAGCAAACTTAGTCACTAATAGATACCCTGTGCTGTGCAGATGCTGGCACGATGGATACATGCACACGCAAGTGGAAGAAAGACAGATTGCAAATGGAACCGGTAAACATACAAAATCAGCAGGTTTCTGGAAGCGTAGTTGCTACGGTTGCACCATCTGTGAAATCGTACCAGTTCACTAATTTCGGCTTCTATTCCTGCATCTCAACATTGCTAGACGTAGATACCTTAACCTTAGTCTTCTGAGCAAGTTTAGGTAGTGTAAGTCCAGGTTCTGATTGCATGGCGGATGGGGCCTTAATCAAGTGAATGCCCTGCTCGAGCTCTCTCGCTGCTTCAGCCCTGCTCTTGGATTTCTTGTCTTTCATCCTGTTAGGAACAAACACACCGTAAGAAACGATCTCGGACAATAACATCTCCTCGCATTGCTCCCTACAAACATACCTGTGATTAAAACAGGACATGGAACTAGAGTAAACTAGCCACACAATGATGGTCATTGAATCCCTCACAGAATACGTCTCTGACGCTGATTGGCAAAAGTTAAAAGTCAGACAGTTTACTGAAATCCCACAGCACTGAGGAGCATCGAAACAATCACGGAAGCAAATCCGCGAAAGGTGATGATAACATCCACCACTAAGGTTCAGGTTAAAACCCTACTGATCATGTTCCTTGGAATATGCATTGTGAAAACAGGCTTCAAAAGTTAGAAAAAAAATTCAGTTTGTACACCGAAGACCCACCTGTTCTCCCAGAATTTGGCCTCGCGTTGCACCCGCACTTCATCAATCTTCTTCATGGCCTTCAGCGTCTGCTCAACTACTTCCCTATTGTACCTCTCCGGCCTGTTCCGCCTCCTCTCAAACTCAAACGTAGCATCCTGTGTGAGTTCCTTTCCATGAAGCTTTCTATACGCTTTTGTCCACTTCACCTTACGAGGATTTCGTTTCATCTTAAAATTCTTGTGACATTTCGACCGGCAAAACCTAAATATCTGAACAAAACAAGTCAGGCAGACACGCAATCAAAAGCTTCATCAGTGTCCACAAAGCCAATACCACGAAACAAAAGCCCTTAAATCAAACGCAAAAGCAAGAATTGTACAAAACCACCACCCTGTTGCACACCGACCCTAAACCCCACAAAAAAACCAAACCTGCCGCCTTTCCCCACATCAATTCCGCGTCACCTCATCTCCACAACCATCGAAATCAACACAAAGAAACAACCTTAGCGTCATTTCTGACGAATTGAATGCCATGGCCGGGGTATATGGTCGAAGAACAGAACCAGCACTTCTCCAATCTCATCGCTGCCGACTTTCAAATTACACTGAAGAAAAAACTTGTGACTGTTTCGCCAAACGGAACCAGAAAGCTGATTTCTAAACTTCTCCTAGACCCTGGTGGCCCTGTGACGGGCGTGGTCCGGCGATGGCGAACTTGCGCCTGCCCTGCAGTAAAGAAACAGAAGTCTAGGGTTTAGAGCTTCATGTGTCCATAATTCAGCTGTTGCGGCGCCATACTCCTCCTCCCCAACTCCATTCAGAAGCCCGGATCCGGATTCTTCCAATCTACCCGACAACACGGTCATTTTTTCGAAACCAGATATCAACATATTGGGAGGTTATCATATTCAGCTTTTAGGCCAGGATCACTCTTACGGCCGAGGTTCTACATCTCCTCTATCTATCTGTAAATTCATTAAAAAAATCTAATCAAATCATGCCTTAGGAAAGAAATTTTTGTAAATGAGAAAGATATAAAATATCAAGAACATGAATCATAAAAAATCAGTACATCAATATGATCTTGTATCACTTTAAAAGAATATATTATCAATCAAAAATGATATAATATTAAGGTTAGAATGATTATTGTCAAGAAGATTAGAGACTCTTCAAACATGACTAAGAACAAGAAAAGCCTTGACAAGAGTGAGGAAGAAATCACTCTTGCATCTACTTATACTATTTAATTTGAAGTTATGTCACAACATTCTACAAGACCTTTGATATATGTCTAGCTTACAAGACAAAGTTTATACATGTGCACCACAAGGCCAACTTGTACCACAATTTATCAACATATGCAATATGCGACCAAATTGTTGGTTTAATCTTCAACTTATCAATTACCTACAAATACGTTAAAAGTCAAATCTGTATCTATGAAGCTTTTAGGAAGCTATTCCATAAGATAGTATCAAATCTACTTCTATCTAATTCCTTTAATCTAGATAAATATATATATATATATATATATATATATATATATTACTAAGACTATCTCTCTCTTCTAAAAGCAAATTCTACAAAGAGTGGTCATTATAACTTGACAAAGTCCAAGATGCAATAAATTGTATTTGCTACATATTATGATCTTTGCTTCTCTTAAAGATAGTTGATAAGTCTTCTAAGCCATTGATAATGTCCTATACCAAGGCAAAAACAACACCTTATTATTTGATTATTATTAAGGTCTTTGTAACTTCTTTCAAATAATTTTTTTGGAATACCATCAAGGATGGTTTTTACTTCCAATAATATAACCAAACATCAAGAGTCTCTTTTATGAGCATGATACCAAATATATTATATCTTACCATCTATTTAAGAAAGAATATGGTGTTCTTGAGAGTCTTTATTTCTATTATTTTGTCTTGAAGGCTATGACAATCTCAATGTTTTGTTTGATAATTTAAAAAATGATATTTTTTAAGTTAAATTTGATGATTATAAATTCTCTATCTCTTAAGTACTACAAATATACAAAAGATACAAACAAAAATAGAAGATAGAATGCAATCTTCACAAAACTTCATTTCTTTTAAATAAGACATTGTATGATTCTTTATTTTGATTTTGATAGATGTTATAAATAAAAAAATATCATTTTTCTTTGTTGCATTAGCAAGATTCTTAATTGGCTTTTATGTACATTCACTAATGTTATATCTATGTCAAGTATAAGATATGTCAACCTATTTGAGTGTCGCCTTGAATTTAAGACTTCTTTGATTTTAAATTCTTGGTTATTGTCCAATTCTATTGAATAAAGTGGTATTTGTCTTTTTTTTGATATTATCTACTATCTTTTATGGATTTAGAAAAGATACATGAAATATGAGATGAATCTTCATAAACTTTAGTAGATGTAAATAATAAGTAATCACATTTATCTATTTACAAATAATAAATATTTCAAGTCTACGGTACTCTAACTTGTCACAAAGGCAACTAGTCTTGATATTACAAAAATTAACCATGTCTTATTGCTAATGTGGAATTGAGGTTATTCCTTGTAATAGGCATTTGTATTGATATTTTGTTATTCTTGACATTTTTTTAAAATTGTACATTCATTATTTAATGTAGCTTTGATAATATATCAAAACTTTTATTATAGAATTATCAAGATTTTAGAAGTTAAAAGTATCAACTTGTAAATGCTAACTATAATTTATATTGAAAGATATTATTAAGTAGAAAAATGTATCATATTATTATGAACAAAATTTGCCAATGTCAAAAGAAGAATTATATTATTTTCATAGTAGTTGATGATACATCTCAAATATTGCTCTAAAATTTGATTATCCATTCTATATGTCCATTGATTTGAAGATGAAAAGGTAAATATAGTTTTATATCTACTTCTAATATCTTAAAAAGAATTATCTAAAACCTTCATTCAAATTGAGTCCTTCTATCTAATATAATGCTTCTTTATAATTCATGATAGCAATAAATATTGTGAAGGAAAATTTTAATTATTTCTTTACATGTGATAGATTTTGTATATAATATAAAATGTGTCATTTTGGTGAAATAATCTACTATCACAAATATAGAATCATACAAACTTAGACGATCCATGATAAAATCTATAGAAATTGTTTTACTATATATTATGGTTGAAAAAATCCATAAGACTAGTAATAAAGAGTTTTTGATCTTGAATAAATATCACATGATTTTACAAAGGTTTTAACTATCTTCTATATTTGAGGCCATCAAAAATCTCTAAATATTAATTTTAAGGTTTTATTGTATTTAAAATATCTCGGAGCTAGAAAAAATGTGATAAGTTTCAAAAGTACATAGTTGTATTTTATTTTTTAGAATACATAAGCATGTCTTAAAATTAAAAATATTGATTTTAAATTCAAACCTATAAGTATCATGAGATTTAAAAGGATTATTTTTAATATCATAAACAAGAGGATTTGAAGACATATTTGATTGAACTTACTTTAAAAGTTGAATCAACATTTAATGTTGATTTTATAGCTCAAAAATAAAATTCTTTTAGCTTCAAAAAAATATTTTTTTATTGATTAAAAGCTATATTTTCTTCTTTTGGTGCAACATAAGAAAGTCTAAAAAAGGTGTTTGAAAAATCATGTTTTTATTTTAATTGGTGTGTGATCTTAAATTCAAATCTTGACAAAGACATGCTCTTATAGGCCTAACAATAATTTAAAACATGTGCAGACATAAAATACTCAATATTCATATAATTTATATAAAAAATCACTAAATTAAATAAACTTTTAAATAATGGCACCATTTTAAAATAAATATGACAATTGTAAGAAGTTCTTTATTGTAGATATCAAAATAAATTTTGGTTGCTAAATTATTTTTAAATGAAAAACTATTGGATGAAGTTATTTATTTACTTTCATTTATGATAATAATATATTTAAGGCAAAGTTTGATGAATCTATTTCTATTAAAATTATATTAAAAAAATCAATGTAATATATGATTAGAGTAAAAATAAAAGTTACTTTTAAAGCTTCAAATGTAGCTTTAGCTCCTTTCTTCTATTCAAGTTTGGTTTTCCAATTGAATATATAAATAGAATTATAACTTTATTTTTTTAAATAAAGATACAATAATAATTGAAAAACTTAAAAAAATATTAGATATTATATTATTATTTTTGGAATCTTCCAATCCATGATAGTATAATTTATTTTAGGATCTATCGTAAGACTATCATTTAAAATGATGCATCCTAAGAATTCAACTTGAATTGTATAAAAAACACAGTTTTAAATCATATCATATATTTTTACATCTTTAAGATTTTTTAATACTCAAAAACTATAGAATTCATATTCTTTTATATTTTTGGAATAAATAAAAAAAAATTTGAATAAAAAATAATAAAATCATCTAAAAATTTTAAAAAACTTCATTTACAATATGTTAAAAAAAAGCTAGTACATTTGTAAGTCCAAAAAATATGACATTATATTTGAAATATTTTTACTTGGTTTAAAATGCAATCTTTTATTCATCTCTTTTTTTGATGGGTACCAAATTGTATATTCTACATAGATCTATCTACTATAGATCTTTACTTGATTTAATTGATTAAAAATTTATAATATCAAAGATAGAAGATATCTATTTTTAATGATGATCTTATTGAAACTTTAATATTCTACATACATGTCTAATGATTACTCATATTTCTTCACAAATAAGATAAAAGTTCATGCTAGAGATTTTAAATGAAGTATGAAGTTTTTAATTAGGTCCTAGTCAATGTTTTTGTTGAGTGCAACTAATTTTTTTTATGATAGGCCATAAATTGTGCCAAATAGATTAATTGAGCCATCACAAAAGGAATGCTTTTAAAGAGTATCTTCATATTTTTTTTTCTAAATAATGTCTTAAAATCCTTAATACTAGCTTAGAATATCACGTGAAGTCTTTTCACTATTAAAAATTGATGTGGCATAAATAACAAAATATAGCCTTCATTTTCTAACATGTATGAAAACTATTGTACCTACTAATGAAGTTTCAGTTGTATATGATATATAATTTTTTATTTGAATTAATTTTTTTTTTATTATACTATGAAAAAAATTAACAATATAAGAAATTAAGTCAATTCAAAGATTAAACTTCTTTAGCCACAATAAATCCAAACTTATTGGATTGAAAGAAGATCTATTAGCATTAAATATTACAAAGTTATTATGACCATCAGTTATTCTATTTATAAGAATAGTTTTATAAATAATATCTTCAAAAGATAACAAAAAGTTATCTATGATTTTTAAATTGAAAGATTTAGCTTTCTAAATTAAAGTTATTTCTTATTTTTAACAAAGTTTTTGTCTCTAAAACAAGTTGAACCTCCTAAATCAAATAAGACAATGACTTTGTAATCTTTTGGTTCTACAAAAACATCTATTCTAAAGTAAGATAAATATCCAAAATAAAAATAAGACCTTTAATTAATATTATATAAGATTCTAATTGCATGGTTTTTATTATAATTGAAAAAACTTATTCTTCAGTATATCATCTTTTTTAGCAACCATGTTCTTTATTTTATGATAGCATTGCTTTTTTAGACAATATTGAGTAGTTTTTTTATATTTTCTATAATACAAGCACAATCCTTCTTAACAATTTTGAGTTTATTTTTGTTCAATTAATGATTAAAAATATACTATATTAATTTATATAGGT